AAAAAAAAAAAAAATTAGATTGAACTTGTATCCAATCATGCTCTATATTTTATAATAAATTAAAAAAATTAATAATTAAGTTTGATTAATAATTAAAATATATCAATAATTTAAATTAATATATATTATTAATTTCATATATATCACTATACATTCATATATATGAATATATATTAATATAGATTAATAAAATTAATATACATTTTATATTAATATATGTTGATAAAGTTAATATATTATATTATATTAGTATATATATAAGTTATGATAGTATAAAATATAATTAGTTATAATGAAAAAAGTATATTAGTATAAATTATATTAGTATATAAAAAAATTATATTATTATTAGTTTAATTATTATAAATTATAATAGTATAAGATATAATTAATTATAATAGGAAAAAATTATATTAGTATAAATTATTACGTTATAGATTAGAATTGATTATCTTATAAAATAAAATTTATTGATATTATGTTAGAAGGTAGAAATTATTGTGTTATAGATTAGAATTGATTATCTTATAAAATAGAATGTATTAATAATATGTTAGAAATTATTGTATTATAGATTAGTATTGATTAGCTTATGAAGTATAATTTATTGATATTACATTAGAAGTTGAAAATTATTTTGTTATAGATTAGAATACATTATCTTATGAAGTAGAATTTATTGATATTATGAAAGATAGGATTGATTATATAATAAATTACAAATTACTATTATTATGTTATAAATTATAATTGATTATTTTGTAAAATTATTAACATACATCATAATATATTGCAGGTGCCACTCGAAGATTTTGAACGAGACGGTGTTGATTACAGACCTGCTTTCACTACAGATGACCTTTTGATAGTTGTGAAGAAGCTGTTAAATGACAAAATATAACAATTATATGGGGTTTCGAATTAGTTATCTCGAAACACAAAAAAGAAAAAAAAAAAACAAAAGGTGTCGAGAGGAAGGTTACAGAGGCAGTGTTGTAGGAGATTTAGTTAGTGCTGTTTTGAGACGTTCGATCGGATAAGATGGGACGAGGGTTCTTGTAACAAGGAGCACTGGATGGAAGTTATAGCCGACCTCTTTCATATTGTTACACTGTTTAATTCAGTTGTCGTGTTGTTAAGCTGTGTGTGGTCCCAGAAATAACAATATCAACCATTTTAGTACGACAGTATTGCCGCTTCACGCACCATTCACGGCTACACGACCTGAACGTGAGATTGTCATAGGTCATCTTGGTTCTTTCGACCGTGTTTATACGATAATTTCGAGTTATGTTTGTTATTATGAACTTGTTGAGGATAAATGAACAAACAACAAATACAATTAAAAAAATGATATTAGTTTAATTAGTATTAATTATATTATTATAAATTAGAAATGATACTAGTTTAAAATATATTATATTAGTATAAATTACTATGTTATATATTTGAATTGTTATCTTATAAATTAGAATTTATTACTTTTATGTTAGAAGTTATAAATTATTATGGTATAAAATTAGAATTGATTGTTTTATAAATTAGAATTTGTTACTATTATGTTAGAAGTTAGAAATTATTGTATTATAGATTACCATTGATTATGTTATAAATTAGAATTTATTACTATCTTGTTAGAAGTTAGAAATTATTGTATTACATATTAAAATTGATTTTCTTATGAAGTAATATTTAGTACTACTATGTTAGAAGTTAGAAATTATTATGGTATAGATTATAATTTATTGTTTTATAAATTAGAATTTATTACTATTTTGTTAGAAGTCAAAAATCATTGTATTATAAATTAGAATTGATTGTCTTATAAATTAGAATTTGTTACTAGCATGTTATAAGTTAGAAATTACTATGGTATAAAATTAAAAACAATTGTTTTATAAATTCGGATTTATTACTATTTTGTTAAGAGTTAGAAATTATTGTATTATAGATTAGAATTGATCATCTTATAAATTCGAATTTATTACTATTATGTTAGAAGTTAGAAATTATTACGGTATATAATTAGAATTTTGAATTAGAATTGATTGTTTTATGAAGTAATATTTAGTACTACTATGTTAGAAGTAAAAAATTATTATGGTGTTATTCATTATATCTAAATTCTAAATTCTAACTATAAGATAATAAAATTTTAATTTATAACATAATATCTCAATTCTAATATAATGTATATAATAAATAAAAATTTGATTATAAAAAAAAAAAAAAAAAAAAAAAAAAAAAAAAAAATCCGGCCGGCCGACCGGTAAAACCGGCCGTGCATGGTGAAACCGGGAAAAAAGGCCGTGCATAATACGGCCAAGCGGTAAAGAAGGCCATGCATGGTGCGGACAATCGGAAAAGAAGGTCGTGCATGGTGCGGCCAACCGGAAAAGAAGGCCGGCACAGTTACGGCCACGATTCGCGGCCGGTCAACCTTAAAATATATATATACTAAAATTGAAAAGGACAAAAATATCTTTTAGGGGGTGATATTTAATAAAAAGAGAACGGTATTTAACAAAACTCAAAACTGATTTTTTTATTTGCTCTTCCTAATTGTCAGAGTTATGAGGCCCATGCACTTATCCTAAGCTAAAATAAATTGTGAGTTTCGCATTAGCAAATCCACATGGGATTCTCTTCCTGTTCATTGGTGGTGACTGATAACAAGAAAATAACCAATTCTTGAAATCACTTTATCAACTTCTGTAACCCCTTTCACCATTTTGGAAACCTTTTCCATTTCTGGTACACTTCTCCTTTCTCAAAACTGTTGGCTCATCAAATTAAACCCCCTCCTACCCTTTCTTCTTCTTTACTTTATTGTTTCACATCTTCAAAATCTTATCACTATTTTTCAAGANAAAAAAAAAAAAAAAAAAAATTATAATAAATTTGTAAAAAAATAAAAGTAAAAGGAAAATGGCTCGTGGGAAGATCCAGATCAAGAGAATAGAGAACCAAACAAACAGGCAGGTGACTTATTCGAAGAGGAGAAATGGGCTTTTCAAAAAGGCCCACGAGCTTACAGTTCTTTGTGATGCTAAGGTTTCGATTCTCATGATCTCAAGTACCCAGAAGCTTCATGAATATATCAGCCCTTCAATCACGTAACCATATTTTTTTTTAATTTTTTTGTGTATATATAAATTATTTTTATTATGTTCGTGGTAAATAGACATAATTACTAATTTATTATATTTCATGTTTCTTATAGGACAAAGCAATTAATCGACCAGTACCAGAAGGCTGCCGGAGTTGATGTTTGGAACTCCCACTATGAGGTTTTTCATTTTTATTTTACTAATTTTATGTTTTTTTGTTTATTTATTTTCTTTAATAATTATTTCGTGTATAGAAAATGCAAGAGCATCTGAAGAAGCTAAAGGAGGTTAACAGGAACCTAAGGATGGAAATTAGGTGTGTTCAATAATTATTTCAGGACTTTTCAATTTTTTTTTGTATGATAATTTATAATTTTATATAATTTGATAACTGATTTACTCTGTCAGGCAAAGAATAGGGGAGAGCTTCAACGGTCTTGGGTATGATCAAATCGTTAGTCTGATCGATGATATTGAGACTTCTCTAACTGTGATTCGAGAGAAAAAGGTTTTACTTCCTCTCCTAATTTGTTTGTTCTATTTATTTTGACAAATGAATATATGTCTTCTTTAACAAAAAAAAAAAAAGCAATTATTTGACAATTGACTCTTTTGCTTTGATCTATGCAAAATAGATAATTCAGATCATTTTAATAGTAAATTTAATGAAGTGACTGATCAGATCTGGTCAGTTTGGTACTGTTTATTGAATGTAAATATTTTTATAAAACTGAAATAATTAAGAAAATTAAGTTAATATCTTTTGCAATATTTGTTTAATATTTTTTCCCCTTTTTTGTTTTTACTTATTTAGAGGTTTTAAGTTAAGGTTTTATAATACTATGGTCTCGGGATCATTCCGTAGATTAATGTAGGTTATATAATTTACGGTTAAAAATAGTAACGGTACTATAATCATCCCCATTAATTAGTACGTAAACTCGTGAAATGAATGGGACAATAATGATAAATTGTATAAATTAAAACAATGAATTAATATTAAATAATATGAATACTAATATTAATATCTCATTTTATTTTATATATATGATATGTAACAATTTAATATATGCTTTATATATACTTATTTCACCTGTTATAAAATGTTTTCATTTTAGAGTTTTTATTTAGAATTAAAGAATAAAAAAATTTTACATATCCAAACATTATTAATAAATAATACTCACAAAAACACTTTTATTTTTTATTTTTGAAGATTTTGTCCACTAATTTTGTGTGTTTCTTATTTTGATCGAATGACTTTTGATTTTGAGTTAGTTTCGTATTATCTTTGCCTTGTGATGCATATATCAAATTAAAAATTTTCAATCTATTAAACGGCCTTAATGGTCTCATCATTAAATTCTCCGATCAACAGTAAATTGCCGCCAAAGGCACTAGAAATTCTCGAATTGCAGTTTATATTCACCGGCATCATGACGAGCTTCGACCGTTATATCTTCTAGAAAAACTTTATCTTTCTAAAATTACTATCAACTAAAGTGTCAAATGGTATTTTCAGAATAAAATATATATATATATATATATATATATATATATATATCGACCCTGAACATCCTCGAGATTTGATTTGATTAGATAAAATATGTTAGAGAATAAATTTGGTGTTCGTGGATTGTAATTAATAATATTGAACATAAACATTTTATTAAATTATTAATTGTTATCTTCTCCAATTTAATTTTACAATATTCATTAGAATTAGTTTGCAATTAGAAAACCGCACTTCTATCGACATATCTCCAATTTGGGCATGCAAACCATATTAAAATTTTTCTTCTGTCTCAATCGATAGGAAAAATACTTAGGCATGAAAATAAAATGAAACAAACTACAAAAATAAAAAATAAAAACCTTCGGGAACAATTGAAAAAGGAATAGCATATATAGTATGTTTGAACTCCATCTAAATTTATATTAAAAATAACTACCAAATTCAAATTCAAAATTAGAAAAAAAAATAATTTTTTTTTTTTACAATATATATATATATATCCAATCATGACCATTAGTTTTTCTTCTTGTACTCGAACTTCTTCGGAGGGCCGCCTTCGATCAGCCTTATCTCAATACCGAAGCTTCTCTTCCTCTTCCTTCTTCTCCTCTAGACCTCACTCTCTACGGCTTCCATCTTCTTACAACAACAAACTACGCCCGTCGATGCGTGGGCCCCACTCGCAACCCGAACCCTCTGCCTCTCTTTGTATTCTTCTTCTTTCTCCTCGGCCTTCGTTTTCTCTTTCAACTGTTTGTTCCTAATTTTCTCTACCTCGTGGTGCCGGGCCACAATCGCGAGCGCCTCCGCGTGAACACAAAGAGGTTTTCAATCTTCTCGCGGTGAACCTCCACGTGCTGCCTCGGCACTTGGTTGAGCATGTGGGCCCGCAACTCCCCAGTAAATCGACTCTTTTTCTTCCGTCCATGCTTTATGATGAGTATGTGGGGTTTTAGATTTTTTTTTGTTAAGGAATAAATTGGGATGTGTTGTTTTGTACATGTTGTGCATGTGTGTAGTATGTATGTTTATATATATAGACTTGTTTAAGGAAAGAAAACAAGTCCTAGTATGTAAAGGAATGTTGGGGGATATAGGAATTTTAGCTTCCAAAAATAAGTGAATTAATTAATTGTTGGTGACATATGTAATATAAGTTTGCGGTGAAAATCGGGTTATATATATAGTATTGGTAATTTACGAGATAGGGTGATAGTCGGCGTTCTATCCTTACTATAGCACGTGTCAATTCATATTTTTATAGAAAACTATCATTACGATGTTCTCATACTTTATACATAATCACAGGAAACTATTATTATTATGTTCTCATACTTTATACATAATCATAAGAATTTCTGGATACCTTTATACTATCAACTTGTAAAATATCATTTAAGCCATGACCGATCTAATTCTTTAAGTATATTTTACAAGGTGATAGTATAAATGTGTCGAGAAGTTCTTGTGATTATGTATAAACTATTAGAACATAATAATAATAGTTTTCTATAAAAATATGAATTGACACGTGGCTATAATAATGATAGAACGCCAATTTTTACATAATAATAATAGTTTTCTATAAAAATATGAATTGACACCAGGCTATAATAATGATAGAATGCCAACTTTTACCCTATCTCGTAAGTTACCAAAACTATATATATAACCTGATTTTCACCACAACTTATATTACATACGTCACCAACAATTAATTAATTCACTTATTTTAGAAGGCTAATATTCCTAAGTCCCCCAACATTTCTTCACAGACTTGTTTTCTTCCCTTAAACAAGTCTATATATATAATCATACATACTCACACCACATCCCAATTCATTCCTTAAAAAATAAAAAAAAAAAAATCCAAAACCCCACACACTCATCATAAAGCATGGATGGAAGAAAAAGAGCAGATTTACTCGGGTGTTGGGGGCCCACATGCTCAACCATGTCTCAAGGAAGCACGTGGAGGTTCACCACGAGTAGATCTAAAACCTCTTTGCGGTTCACGCGGAGGCGCTCGCGATTGTGGCCTGGCACCGCGAGGCAGAGGAAATTAAGAATAAGCAGTTGGAAGAGAAAACGAAGGCCGAGGAGACAGAAGAAGAAGAAGACGAAGAAAGGGGGAGGGTTCAGGTGGCGATTGGGGCCCACGCATCGACGAGCGGGGTTTGTTGTTGTAAGAAGATGGAAGCCGGAGACAGTGAGGTGCGGGAGGAGAAAAAGGAAGCGGAGGAAGAGGAGCTTCGGTACTGGGATAAGGCCGCCGAAGAAGTTCGAATACAAGTAGAAAAACTAGTGATTATGACTGGATATATATATTTTTTATAAAAAAAATAAATAATTTTTCGTTTCTAATATTGAATTTGAATTTGGTGAGTTGTTTTTAAAATAAATTTAGATGGAGTTCAAACACACTATATATGCGATTCCTTTTTCAATTATTTCCGAGCGTTTTTATTTTTTTAGTTTGCTTCATTTTATGCCTAAGTATTTTCCGATTGATTGAGGCAGAGGAAAATTTTTATATGGTCTACATGGCCAAATTGGACATATGTCGATAGGAGTGCAGTTTTCTAATTGCAAACTAATTCTAATAAATATTATAAGATTAAATATTTGGAGAAGATAAAAATTAATAATTTAATATAGTGTTCCTGATCGGTATTGTTAATTACAATCAATGAACACCAAATTTTACATTATTTTCAAAACATAATGCATACTTTGATTTGATTGGATTTTATTCGGTTTGATTTGGTTTTGTTATTTTTGAAAAAGGTAATATGGTTAGTTGTTGGTGAGCATATTAAAATAATGTTTGAAATAAATAAAGTTGGTTTGATGTAAAAGTAGGAAAGAGACGATTTGAATTGATGGTTAGTTAAAATTATGTGAGTGGATGCATAGTCAATTAAAGTTAATATGATGTGTAAAAATGATTTATTGATATTATTTAATTATATTGATTATAACTGAATTGAGTTAAAAGTCATGTTAAAAAAGTAGTTGAGTTAAAAATGTTTGAATTATATTGTTTTCCTACCGCTAACCCCTTATCTAAGTAGTGAATAACCTATTTGTCTTTCTCCCTCTAAAATTCCTCCATTTATTTTTAGATTCTGTATCTAAAATTATAGTATAAAGCTTTAGCCAGTCTTATTTCTACAATATTATATGAAATTAAAGTTATTGAACTTAATTGAATCCGTAAAAGAATAGGGGACAAAAGTTAATTGATAGTCTGATGGTATAGCTTTGTAGGTGGCCTTAAATATAATGAGGGAATCATCAAATTTATTTTCCATTAAACGTTAGAACAAATATATGCAATTAACCATCTTTATTTTTTATATTTTTGGTTATATAATATTCAATTGTACACAATATTCAGACATAAAACGATACTTTCTTTCTATTTCTCTTGTGAATATTCTTCAAAGGCAATACTTCGTAGTTCATACTAGATTAACGTTGACAATCATGCATAGTTAAAGTTTAACTAATGATATATCTCTACTAATTTATAGCGAATGCTATTAGATCTTTTCTATTTGTGTTACTGCTGCAACATTCTATTTTACTAGATCAAATGCAACTAATTAGTATACATTATGTTTTGAAAATAATGTAAAATTTGGTGTTCGTGGATTTTAATTAATAATACCGAACATGAACACTATATTAAATTATTAATTGTTGTCTTCTCCAATTTAATCTTACAATATTACTAGAATTAGTTTGCAATTAGAAAATTGCATTCCCATCAATTTGGGCATGCAGACCATATTAAAAATTTTCTTCTGCCTCAATCGATGGGAAAGATATTTAGGGCATGAAAATAAAATGAAACAAACTACAAAAATATAAAAATAAAAATCTTTAGGACTAATTGAAAATGAATAGCATATATAGTGTGTTTGAGCTCCACCTAAATTTATATTAAAAATAACTCAACAAATTCAAATTCAAAATTAGAAACAAAAAATTATTATTTTTTTTAAATAAGAAAACTATATATATATCCAATCATGATCACTAGTTTTTCTTCCTGTACTCGAACTTCTTCGGCGGCTGCCTTCGATCAGCCTTATCCCAGTACCGAAGCTCCTTCTCCTCTTCCTTCTTCTCCTCTCGCACCTCACTCTCTCCGGTTTCCATCTTCTTACAACAACAAACCCCGCTCGTCGATGCGTGGGCCCCACTCGCCACCCGAACCTTCTGCCTCTCTTCATCTTCTTCTTCTTCTTTCTCTTCGGCCTTCGTTTTCTCTTCCAACTGTTTGTTCTTAATTTTCTCTGCCTCGCGGTGCCGGGCCATAATCGCGAGCGCCTCCGTGTGAACCGCAAAGAGGTTTTCGATCTTCTCGTGGTGAACCTCCACCAGCTGCCTCGGGACTTGGTTGAGCATGTGGGCCCCCCAACTCCCAAGTAAATCGGCTCCTTTTCTTCTGTTCATGTTTTATGATGAGTGTGTGGGGTTTTAGATTTTTTTTTTTTTTTTTTTTTTTTTTTTTTTTTTAAGGAATGAATTGGGATGTATTGTGTTGTGTTGTGCATATGTGTAGTATGTATATTTATATATATAGACTTGTTTAAGGGAAGAAAACAGTCCTAGTATGTAAAAGAATGTTGGGAGATTTAGGAATATTAGCTTCGCAAAATATTATATGAAAAGTTATTGAACTTAATTGAATCCGTAAAAGAATAAGGACAAAAGTTAATTGATAGTCTAATGAGGGAATCATCAAATTTATTTTTCATTAAACGTTAGAACATATATATGCAACCATTTTTATTTTATAATATTTTTGGTTATATAATATTCATGTGTACACAATATTGAGGCATAAAACGATATCTTTCTTTCTAATTCTTTTGTGAATATTTTTCAAAGGCAATACTTCATAGTTCATACTGGATTTACGTTGACAATCACGCGTAGTTAAGGTTTAACCAATGATATATCTCTACTAATTTCTAGCGAATGCTATTAGATCTTTTCTATTTGTGTTACTGCTGCAACATTTTATTTTACTAGAACAAATGCAACTAGATAGTAAAATAATAATAATCACAACAATGATATAGAATATTATTTATAGAAATTCAAAAGAACTACTTGCATTTTCGTCTAGAGATTTGAGGCTGCAATTTATATTATATACATCTTGTTTTTCCTTATATACACACACAACAAAACCTAACTAAATTCTTCTAACAATGACAGTACAAAGTCATTGGAGGTCAGATAGACACCAGCAAGAAAAAGGTATTATTCATATGCTACTACATTTGACCTATTTTATTCTCTTATTTAAATTATTATTTCTTCTACATGATTTTCCTTTTTTGGGATTTTTGCAGTTGAGGAATGCTGAAGAAATACATCGAACCCTAGCGCATGAATACGTACGACTTTTCCTTAACCAAAATTCAAATCAAGCATATTTCTATTAGTTTTCTATAATCCAAATAATGTAACTGTTTATTTTTTAATGACAATAAGTATTATAAATATGATTTGTTTGGTCCTAGGATGCAAGGCAGGAGGATCCACACTATGGATTAGTCGAAAACGAAGGTGATTATAATACTATAATTGGATATCCAAATCGAATGCCCCCTCGACTAATCACTTTTCGTCTGCCGCTTAATCACCCTGCTAATCTTCACAGTGGAGGAGGCTCAGATTTGACCACATTTACCTTGCTTGAATAGGGTTAATTGTGTCCAACTATATAATATATGCTTTATAATTAAACTTTTGAAGACCTTATTAGGTTTTTAATTTATTCACGTCTTGGGAAAAAAAAAATGAACGAAATAAAGGAAAGCCAAGGCGTGTGCATGTATGTATGCTTGCTACTATGCTGCTCTTGTATTCTCCTATGTGGCATGTACGACGACGCTCTATCGAGAATTTGCTTTATACTATTATTGTGTTTTGAAGCTAAATTTGAAAAAAGTTATTATAATTTTACCATAGGGCAAACTTAATTTACATCTTTACCAATTTCATGCCAATTAATTATAAATATACACCAAATTATGGGATTTTCAGTTATCAAATTAAGTGTAACCTCCTCTCCCAAATTATGGGATTTTCAGTTACCAAATAAAATGTAACCGCCTCCCCTTTAAATTGGGTAGATCGTGGGCTTTCCTTTCTTAAGGTTTTTGAATAGACAGTATATATTGCGTTGTCATTATATATTCAGTATATAATCTGATTTTTTATTTACATGATATTTTTATTTAACCACAATTGTGATATTTGAGAATTTGTTCTGATGGGAAGAAGAACTGATGTGCAAGACAGAAGATAATGAAGAGAGAAAGCTAAGTAAAGGCAAAGAGAAAATAAATTGGAGTTTTTTGGTCCTTAATTGAAATTGATAATGGGTTGGGAGTTGTTTTTTTTTTTTGAAATATAGGTATAATTGTAAATAAAAATTAGAGTTGCTATATGTACAAATAAAATTGATCTTGATGGTATGTGGGGTAATTTTCTCATATATATTGGGTAATTTTCTCAACATGATAAGCCCAGTTGTCTGAAAGCAGTATGAACTACCCAAGCAGCAAATCCAACTCATAACAGTATGGGCTACACATATTTAAGAGGAGTGGGCCAGTGAAAGGCGTAAGTAACGTTAGCTTGGACCTTTACATTGGGCTCTAAAATTTTCAGGAACAACGTAAACCCAATATGGGACATCTGGACCTGCCTTGTTTTGAAAACTCTCAGTAAAAGAAAATAAAACAAATGGTAATTCCTCAACATTTGTTGTTTTAACTCAAAACTGAAGGCAATAGCCCAATATATTTAATAAAATATAATTTTGTTTGTTTCTCAACACCAATTCTGGCAAACAAAGTATGTAATTACGTAATATTAAAAGTCAACAATGTTACCAAATCGACTACTTCCTCGTTTGCGAATCTACAACATATGTTATACTTCTAGACCTGGGACCTTTTAGGAGATTGGCTTTTCTCAAGTAGACATTGTCTTGGAACATAATTTTACTAATATTTCATGTTTAAACCACTTACTAATATAGAAAATATAGTAATTATGAAAATATCAGCACAAAATCAAATTACATTTATCAATAGGTATTAGGGCATAGTCAGATCATACATATCGATAAATATTTTGTAAAGTTGAGCATGATGCTGTTCGCAAAACTATTCAGCACTACACACACTTTACTTAAAAAGTTCTAACAAATCATGTATGCATAGTTTCAATTTTTCAATCAATATTAAAATATAGATTGTTGAAGATGAAGGTAAAGATATTTTGGGGGAAAATTCCCTTCTGAATCTATTTCATTCATAAACTATGAAAATGGTCTCATACAAAATGTATTTATATGACAAGGAAAAGAAAATTGCTAACGCGCTTTATAATGACCAGATAAAATGAACTAAGACTAATATGCCCTTAACAACTAAAATACTCAATACTCATCACGCCCCCCTCAAGTGGGCTGAAAAAGAGAAGTTGTCATGCCCAACTTGACAACCATGGTACGGAAAGGAAGACCTCCAAGAGACTTAGTGAAACCATTTGCAACTTGCTGGGAAGAAGGAATGTAACAGGGAGAAAGTAGGCCTTCCTTGTACTTATTCCTCACTAAATGGCAGTCAATTTCCAAATTCTTCATGCGCTCGTGGAAAACTGGGTTTTGTACTATGTGAAGTGCTGACTGATTATCACAAAACACAGGTATAGGAAATGGTACTGGAAGCTGCAAGCCCTGAGCAATAAAAGCCAACCATTGCAATTTACAAGCTGTGGAGCTGAGAGCTCTATACTCTGATTCTGCTGAAGACTTAGAAACTGTGGCTTACTTTTTGCTTTTCCATGATATAAGTGAAGAGCCAAGGAACACACAGAAACCAGTCGATGATCTTCTTGTGTCCACACAAGCTCCCCAATTAGCATCACAGTAGGCTGAGAAATGAAAATCACATGAAGCTGAATAGAAGAGACCCAAAGTAGTTGTTCCTTTTAGGTACCTCAATACATGCATTGCTGCATCCCAATGAGTAGAGTAAGGATCATTCACAAATTGGCTCAATTGCTGAACAACAAATGAGATATCTGGTTTGGTAAGATTCAAGTATAACAGTCTCCCCACTAACCTCCTATACACATCGGCATTGGCTAAAGGTGTGCCATCTTTGCCTTTCAGAACCAAACCATGAGGCATAGGAGTAACTGCTGTTCTGCTATGTTCAAGCTTCAAATCATGCAGCAAATCCATGATATATTTTCGTTGATTCAAATAAGTCCCATGTTCTCTTCTAGCAATTTCAATTCCCAAAAAGAACTTAGCAAAACCCAAGTCTTTAATGGTAAACTCCTTATCCAAGTAACTCTTGAGGTTGTCTATCAAAGTCAGACTAGGTCCCATGATGAGAACATCATCTACATAAACCAAAAGGCCCAAGAAAGTATCCCCACTGGATTTGGTGAACAAACAATAATCATGCTGTGACTGAACAAAGCCATATGAAGCAATTTATCACAAAACTTATGATTCCACTCTCTTGAGGCTTGTTTAAGCCCATACAAACTCTTCTTAAGCCTGCAAACTTCTCCATCCTTCTGTTTATTATATCCTTGTGGACAAGTCATATAAATTTCTTCTTTCAAACTTCCATGCAAGAAAGCATTATTTATGTCAACTTGACACAGAGGCCATCCTTTTGCTGCACTAATTGCCAAAAATAACCTCACTGTTACCTGCTTTGCTACTGTGAGAAGCAGTCCACATAATCCACTCCATACACTTGATTGTAGCCTTTAGCTACAAGTCTTGCTTTATACCTGTCCACAGTGCCATCAGCCTTTCTTTTAACTTTATAGACCCATTTATTCCCTATGGGTTTTTTTTTTTCCAGCTGGCAATTTACCAGATCCCAAGTACCATTTCTTTCTAGAGCATCAAGCTCCTGTTGCATGGCCTCAACCCACTCTGCATGTGCCTTTGCTTGTTGATATGAATTAGGCTCTTGTATAATGGATACATTATGTAAAAAGGCAAGATAATTGGATGTATATGATATGGTGTTGGTATGAGTAAGTATATGATGGTCAACAGTACCTGATGAGGTTGCCTTGCAGGATTGATCCACAGCAGCAGAAGGAAGATGTGAGCTGGAATTACAAGTTATGTAGTCATTTAGCCAAAGTGGCTTTGTTCTGTTTCTGGAAGGTCTGGTTGGGGCATTTTGTGAGGCTGAAGGGCTAGGAACATTTGGTACTGGAGTTGACTGAGGTAATGGAGGTGATGTAGGTGTGGGTAAAATATCATGTTCATCTGAAAAAGGAACATTTGGCATTAGTGTTGACTGAGGGATTTCATTATGGTGATGGTAAGGAAATACATTGTCAACAAACTTGACATCTCTACTCACCACTATTTTCTTTGTGTCCATATTGTACAGCTTATATCCATTTTTTCCAAATTCAAACCCAAGAAAGACACATTTATGTGATCTGGTAGTGAACTTGGTTTTATGCGGGTCAACATTGGCTGCAAAGACTAAACAACCAAAGGGTTTCAACAAACTATAGTTTGGGACCTTTCCATAAAGAACTTCAAAAGGTGTTTTCCAATTAACAACTGAATTGGGAAGTCTGTTAAGTATGTGTGTGGCTGTAAGTAAAGATTCAGGCCAAAGATATAGAGGTAATTTGGATGGAACATCAAGGATCTAGCAATTTCAAGAAGGTGTTTGTGCTTCCTTTCTACAGTCCCATTTTGTTGAGGTGTGTACTCACAAGTCCTTTGATGTATAATTCCCAAGGAATGAAACAAATTTTGGCACTCTTGACTAATGAATTCCAACCCATTATCACTTCTGACTGTGTTGATAGTTTTCTGGAACTGGTTTTGAATCAAGGCAAAGAAAGATGAAAGTGTATGTGGAACTTGTGTTTTGAATTTCAAAAGGTATAACCAAGTTGCTCTACTAAAATCATCAACAATAGTTAGAGCATACTTGATATCTTTTATGTTGTTATCACCACAGGGTACCCATAGGTCTATATGAATTATGTCAAAGGTTGATGTACTTTTCACAGTGGAAGTAGGAAAAGGCTCTCTGTGATGTTTAGCTCTAGAACAAATCTCACAAGATCTCAAAGCATCAACACCAGAATCAGAAATTTCACTCTTCAAAAAACATAAATGCTTCAAGGTACTCAAAGATGCATGTCCCAGTAAAATATGCCATTTCTCAAGAGATGTCTTATAAGGGAAAGCATTAAAACAATGACCAGGAGAAGGAAAAGAAGGTTTACAATCAGTTTCAAGGACATATAGGTTTCCTATAATCTTTCCTTCTTCTACCACTTGGCAATTCTCAAGGTCCTGCAATAGGCAATGAAAAGGAGTGAAAATACATTGTATTATGGAATTATGAGCAAGCTGAGAAACAGACAAAAGGTTGAATTTGAAGGAAGGTATATATAGAACTTCTGTTAGGATTATATGATTGTTTATCTTAACTGTCCCTGTATGAGTAACTTGTTTTAGGGTGCCATCTGGCAGGTAAACTGCAATTGGCTTGGTTAAAAGGGTAAGTTCTGAAATCAATGATTTATTTGTACACATGTGCTTACTAGCACCTGTATCCAATATCCAAGAACCCTTTCCAATATCTTCAAACATTGACAATGCAAAGTGAAAATCAAGGTCAGAAATGTTACCAGCAAAGTTAACTCCTTCTGTCATGTTGTCTTGTTCTCCTTTCTGTTTGTTACCCATCAACTTTATCAGTTCTTGAGCCAAGCCTGCCATATCTATTCCCTTTGATGAGCTGTCCATGTTATCTACTTGATTAGCATATCCTTTGTTGGTTTTATCCTTGAACTCCTTGTACCAGTCAGGATATCCATGGAGTTTGAAACACTCCTTCTGCTCATGTCCATTATACCCACAATGCTCAAAAATTAATTGTGCTCTCTCCTCTTTAGATCTCCTAGGAACTGAGCCTCTGCCCCTAGCTATGAAGGAGCCCTGACCTCTTCCTCTCAACATGTTCCCTTTGCCTCTATATCCAAAATCCTTTGTCTTAACCATAGCAGTTGTGTCAGTGGAATCAGGATACAGAACATGAACACTTCTTTTCCTTTCCTCTTGTAGGACAAGTGAATATGCCCTATTCACATTTGGCAGTTGTTCCATGAGTGAAATCTGGCTACTAAGTGAATCATATGACTCATTCAGTCCCATAAGGAATTGCATCACTTTGTTTCTGGAATCCATCTCCAGCAACTCCTTAGATTTAGCGCAACCACACAAAGGTAAAGGAGCTAAGGTTGCACACTCATCCCACAACCTATTCAATTTTGTAAAATACAGGACCACGGAAGACGTGCCTTTTTTGATATTTGCAATCTCCTTTTGTAAGCTAAACAGTAAAGCTGCATTTGACTCTCCAAATCGCAGATTTATAATTTCCCACAATTGGTATGCAGAATCAACATAAATGAATCCTTCAGCAATCTTAGACGACATAGAGGTCAAAAGCCAAGAGGTTACCATACAATCGGCTTTCCTCCAGCCGTTAAAGTTGTCCACATTTTCCGGCGGAGCTGTAATTTTGCCATTGATGAAATCCAGCTTGTTCTTCGATCCCAGCGCGATAAGGACTGCTCGTCGCCATGGGAGAAAGTTGTTTCCATTTAGTTGGATCGAAACCAGACGTAGCCCTGGATGATCGGAACTCTGCAAGTACATCGGATCATCGTGCGACATGGCGATTTCGCCTGTCATGTCTCTGCGCGAAGATGAAGCTATGGAAATTGGAGATCAAAGCTTCAATCGGTAGTTGCTCTGGATACCATGTTGAAGATGAAGGTAAAGATATTTTGGGGGAAAATTCCCTTCTGAATCTTTTTCATTCATAAACTATGAAAATGGTCTCACACAAAATATATTTATATGACAAGGAAAAGAAAATTGCTAACACGCTTTATAATGACCAGACTGAAATGAACTAAGACTAATATGCCCTTAACAACTAAAATACTCAATACTCAACATAGATCATTCATGATATATCCAAAAATCATAGCAAAATTAAATTTAGGCAATGCTTTTCGACCCTAACGGACTTTTGGCTCATACTCACGATTCACGTAGACTATATTTACATAATGTTGACAAAATAATTATTTACAAAAACCAAAATATTCGTATAAGTATGACACTGTATGTGGGAACAAATTAACCAAAAAAATTAATTAACATTTGAACATAAAAACTTAAATCGTGAGTATGCCAAAGATTAAAAACAATGTGACTTAGAAATTAATGATTAAAATAAACCACAATTATTCATAAATAATAAATTTTAGTATAATTAGAATTAAATAAAAAAACTTCATAAATATTCAAATACAATGAAATTTCTTTCTCAGTCTAAGTACATACAAGACGTTCTTGTTCGTTCCGGCAGTACTGATAATCGGACAACAGTTACGCCTATGGATCTTCACTTACAGCTTCGTCCCACTGATGGTATACGCCTCTTGAGGATCCCTCTCACTATCGACATATTGTAGGCAGTCTCGTTTACCTTACTGTTACCAGGATTGAATTGCTCACGCAGTTCATATATTGAGTCAGTTTGTGAGTGCTCCTACTTCGGTTCATTTTGGGCATTTGCTTCGCTTGCTACGATACTTAAGGGGAACATCATCTTAGTATTTATTATATTCTCGTGATAGTCCGCTTCAGCGTCATGCTTACTCGGATTCTACTTGGGCAAGCAATCCAACTGACCGTCGTTCTGTCACTGGTTATTGCATTTTTCTAGGTTCTTCTCCCCTTACATGGAAGTCCAAGAAGCAGGCCGCTGTATCTCGATCTAGCACAGAGGCAGAACTTCGAGCACTTGCTACTACCACCTCAGAACTTCTATGGCTTCGATGGTTGTTAGCCGATTTTGGTATTTCATGTGATGATCTTACGCCTCTTCTTTGTGATAATACTGGACCAATCCAAATTGCCAATGATCCAGTAAAACATGAACTTACAAAACACATTGGTGTTTATGCTTCCTTTACCCGATCTCACTGTCATCAGAAAATAATTGTTCTTCAGTATGTGCCGTCAGAACTGCAAGTGGTTGATTTATTCACCAAAGCACAAACCAGAGAGCAACATCGGCTTCACTTGCTCAAACTCAATGCTTCGAATCCTCCACCTCTACCTTGAGTTTGAAGGGGTTTGTTAACTATTATATAGGCGCAACCCATATATACCTAGGCCCTAAGTCTATATATATATGGGCATCCTCACTTGTGGATATCATACATTCATTCAGAAACCCTAAGGTTTGTAACATCGTATCACATCCTTTCACATAAATCTTTTTTTTTTTTCGATCTCACCTCCCACATAAGTCGAATCGCCGCCTCACGAAATAATTTTCGGCCAAGTTTCGCCGTCAGAAGCCTCACGTGTGAGCCACACGCGCCGTCGGGAATTTCTGCCGGCAGTCCCACACGTCGGCGTGTGAGAGCGCGTGCCTTGCCGGTTTTAGATGGCATCTGATCAGTCCCAATTGGTTGCCTGCAAAGACGGTTCTAGTTGGTGCTTATATTCAGACAGTTGATGGGTACTCATGAGGGTTCTCTATGCAATTCACGTTTTTCAGTGCCTAATATCTCTTGTGTTCCTAAGTTATCTATGAATCTTCTTTCAGTTGGTCAGGTCACTGATCGTAATTGTTTTGTTGGATTTGATGACTCATCTTGTTTTATTCAGGATCGTGGAAGCAGGGCTGTGATTGGGACTGGCCATCGCCGTAAAGGTTCTCTGAGTCTCTACATATTAGACACTTTGCATCTTCCCTCTTCCACTTGTTCTATCGCTCGTGTGTCATCCGTTGCCTCGTCTTCCACCTCATCTTTCGCCAAGTGGCATCATCGTCTTGGTCATTTGAGTGGTTCCCGTTTGTCATGGTATCAGAGCCGGTTCACCCAGCCCAGTTTGGCTTGGGACTTCGTGGGACCGTGCAATGACGTACCTGTCACCCAGCCCAATTGGGTTTGGGCTTCCGAATGACTCACAAGTAAGGGAGGATGTTATAATATACACTTCTGAGTTGCCCCACATTGTCTATACAAGGAAAATAGGCTAACTTATAAGCCTAGTTAGCTATTCCTCCTACCACCAATTGATTTTGGAATGAAACTCCACTTGGTTTCATATGGAATTTTCCAGATTTGGTTAAACTAGTCTGGGCCAATGACATTTAATGGATCAATACATCAAATCAAAACTCCTAAAAGTATGCGCCACAGACATTTAGAAGGTGTGGGCTAATTTGGACCTTGAAATTGGTCTCTGAAGTATTCGAGAACAAACGTAGCCCTACGTGCATCCGGACATAGCCTTGTTTGTGAAAATGAAAAGTACCAGTACAGAAAAAATAAATGGTTATGATAATCTCAACATTTGCTTATAAAAACTAAAAAATGAAGGCAATAGATAAAATATAATTCTGTTTGTTTCTGAACACCGATACTCGTAAAGAAAAGTCGTAATTACTTAATATTGGAATCTCAACAATGTTACTACTTATGAACATAATTTTACTAATATTACATGTTCAAAAATTTTGCGATATTTGTAAGTCAATGCATAAGAGTTAATTTAATCTCACAAAAACACATATATAGTAGCATCATTTGTTGGCTATGGAATGTTAATAATCGTACTTAGTCACAACTCACAACAATAGCCTTGCAGTACTTATGTGACAGATAGAAGTTTAATTGAACTTAACCTTAATTATTATAAGTAAAGATCTTATATCTAATGATTTAGAATTTCCATTTCAAAAATTGAAATAGGAGACAATAAACTTTCAAATGTGTGCCCAAAGGGTAAATGTAGTCATTGGTCTTTTGTAATTGTGGTAAAAACTACTCTATAGCTAGCTAATCAAACCATCCCCACTTCAGATTAAACAGATAAAAATTCTACTAGCATCTTTAGCTAATGAAAACTTACCGACGCCATTTTTCAACGAACAAATCCCACAAAATCTCGAAAAAGAAAGAAAATCGATTCCTTTTACGAATACCGGGTAAATACAGTGCAAGCAAAAGTTCCTAAGTGCATGGAGATGTACTACTCAGTAATTTTACAGTGGGAGAAAAAAAGTGACAGCATATATATCCAGTAATTATAACACAAAGCAATCTAATTTTCGTAGATATGTGGACAAATAGAGCAAACATGCCCCATAATTACGTGGTGCTTTTTTCCATGCAGATGAAGATTTGATCCATATGCAATGAGCTACAAATGTCAACGCTGCCAACATATTATATGTTAAAAGTTATAACCTAAGATGGTCTAAAATTGTTTTTTTTTTTTAAAATCACCACCTAATTAAGTGATCAGTTTCTTGTAAATGTGCTACGAGATACATTTGTCTGTTAATATCAAACTTTATGATAATGTTATAGCACATGGAGGGACAAAAGGGTCCCCCACAAATAAAACTAGGATCACGGCTTTTATTTATACTAGTAAAGTGCACGTGCGATGCACGTGGTATCGAATGATTTTTGCTGAGTAAGTTTGTAAAATAAATTAATTTATTTATTAAACATATCATTGCAGGAATGAAATAAAATATAGAACAAATGAATTCATATGTGATTTTTTTATTTATAATTAGCGTAATGATGTCCTAATATAAAAAGAGTGAAATAACGTTTTACAACCCCCAACTAAAATATATAAAAAACAAATCCTTAATACAAAAACCATTAAGATTTTCTTTCATCTTTCTTATAAGAAACATTCATACTCGCTGGAGACTAATACATCAATACTATTGCAAAATTTCTCTTAATTCATTTGGCAAAACACTAATTTTATTAAAACACTTAAGAAACATTCTGACTGAACATATAGTCAAACTTCATGATCGTATAATCATTATAATAAGACACTTCTACTAACGATGCATAAATATCTCTATAAAATAACTAATTGTGTCATTAAAATTGTCAGTATTTTTTTATCATTGTATTAACTACTACATTCCTTTGTCTCTAGACATATTGGTGCCTACCCCATTGATGCATCGCCCCACGAGGTGGGAATGAATTTTATCTCCAAATAGAAGTTGACTTTCCAAAATTTTGGTTACATGTACTTCTCCCGAGGTGCTAAATTATTTTTTGAAATCATCATACATTACCTGAAAGTACCTCTAAAATAATTGCACATATGTTCGAGTACAATATACCAATGAGATTATAAATATTTCTATATAAAGTAACAACTTCATTCGAACATTCAAAATTGTTTTGATACTCCGACATTGTTATTTATTTAGAATATAGACGAACAATATAACCTATTATTTGAAAATTATTGACCATCATGGCTGTTGGAATGATTTTAGAATTGTGTATCATAATATCTTTCACATTCGTTTGAATATGCAATATTTGTGTGCCTAATAACTTCTTTGATGCCTTTATTTTCCAACATTATTCATCATACAAAATGATTATAAAATTCAAGATAAAGATCATTTCCTTATTCTCCAACAATGACAAAACAAAACAATTCAAATAATGCGAAAATATTGAGAAACATATCATTTGTTAAAATATTTGATAGGAGAAGAGTTACAATTCTATTATATTTCGATACTCTTAGTCATCTGCAAAGTTTATTATTATTGAGTCATGATTAAAATATACATTATGTATTACAAATTTTTTGATTTTTTAATTATTTAAAATTAAAAATACATAATATAGGATCATTATTTATGAAAACCAATTTCTTACAGAGTCCCTATATTTAAACGCTAGCAGCAAGAAAGTAGTAATTTTCAAAGACTTTTTGTTCGTAAATATTGGTATTCATACTTCTCTAAGAAAATTCACACGTATTCTTTTTCTCATTGTGTTACTATTATATTATTTGTTTCTTATTCTATAGATAAATAATATTTTATTTGCTAAATAATTAAAGCACATTTATATGTATTGCGTTATTTTTTGTATGTGTTTTATATAATGATGTTTTCAAATTATCTTTTTTATTAGGCTGCAACTACTATAATCACATAAGATATAATGTAAATTTAATATATTTGATAAAAATGTACTTTTTATATGAATTATTAGATTAAAAAGTTTATAATTTTTTCCAATGTTTGATAAAAATATTAGGTAACTAAGTCATTTTCATAATCACTGAATACATATATGGTACCACCTTTATAGGTTCTTTTTCAAGCAGTAACTGAATAATAGTTTAACGTACAACTTATTTATTTGTCTTTTTAATTCACATAGCTAATGTTATCTCATTTCCCTTCTGTGGCCTAGTCTCTTCCTTCTTTTATCTATGATTTCACTTCGCTTCGCTTCGTTTGTACCTAAGGTGCATTCGCCATAGTTTCAGCATTACGGCAAACCAATGTCAAATATATATCGGGAATGGGCGCTCTAGCCAAAATGTGGGAATAGTTGTAAGTTTACCTCCATTTTTTTTATATTATTTTTAATATGAATTGTTTCAAATCTATGTAAGAAAAATATATAACAAGTTTATCTTACGTTATTTTATACTTAATAAAATTGATTTAACTTGAATAAATATATTAATATATACTCTAATTTAGGTCAATTTATTATTTTAAAATTATTACTGATATATATATATATATCGATATAAATAATTATATTATTTTTATTTTATTTGCAATATATTGGTCAACTCAAACATTATTGAAAAGAAATAATGTGATATATTACATATAAAAAGAGTAACAAATAAAAAGTATGAAGTATCTCAAAATTTAAAAATTTAATGAGAGAAAGTAATTAAATTTTTAATTAAAAATTTTTAAGATTAACATACCCAATTTTAAAGAAATGTATACCTAAAAGTTCTAGTTAAAACATATGTGTATCTTAAGTATGTTTTATATTTCTCATTAGTCAGCTCCAATTGATATTGTACATTAAGTAATTTTATCAGTATTTTTACTCTTTGATTTAATGAGAGCTATAAGTTTTCTCATCATTCTTACCCCTTATTTAGTTATTATAATACTAATAAAATAATTAAGGACCTTTCAAAGTATCTTGTTTGTTTTGAAACAAAAATTACTTATTATCATAAATTAAACGACAATTACATTAAATGTGTTATATTTTCTATCATATCAAAATTTTTATAATAATAGTTGCACACAATATTATATAATACAAGAAAATGAGAAAATTCCAACGAAAATTACAACAAGAATATAACGATCTTAAGTTGAATTGAGAAAAATCATGTCTTTTGGTTTCTTAATATATTTTATCTTATTGTGACTGTATTGATTTATTAAAATGTATTACAAAATGAGAAAGGTGATAGATTAATTTATAAATTACAATGACATGTTATTTTGATGGTATATTTTTTCTATTAACTAAATAATGCCCCCAATATGAAAATATTTTAGATCTATCACTGCAATTAGCTTTCCAATGGAATTTCCATTGAATTTTTGCACAATTCCAATGACAGTTTTTCCAACGATTGAAATATGGTTCAAAAAAAAATCCAATGGAAATTCAAGTAATTGAAATCTTTAAATCCACTAAAGTTCAAGTAATTTAATTTGAACTTTGTTGGAATAGCCAATGAAATTTTCCAATAAAAGTAATATTTATGAAATATTCGTTGGAATTTTCTGTAGATTACCTTACCGTTGATTTTTTCATTGCAATATAGCAATTTGTTGTAGTCCTCTTAAACATTAATTTTTTATGTAGTATTTACTGATTAATTGTGTTTACAATTTTTCTATTAAAATATATTAAACACATGAACTTTTTAGTTCCTATATTTTTTTTCAGAAATTACTCATTATTTTATCTCAAGATTACCTATTGATTTACCAATTCAGTTACATTTCTTACATATTAAATATTTAAAAATTAGAATATTTCCTATTTTATATGTTCAATATGATATATATATATATATATATATATTATATTAAAAATAACTAATATAGCAAATAAAAAGTTATTTAAAATTAGAATAATAAAGATTTTTTTTTTTGGTAACTTACATGAATAAATGTACAAATAACTATTGTCTATCACATCAAATTTATACATAAAATTATAAGGAGAAAAAACTAACAAGCGTTTAACAACTCAGCTCGTTTACATCGATAAGTATATTTATAAAAGGTTTATATTTCTTCTATTAATTATAACATTTTTATTTATTACTTTGTTTCATATTTATTAGTACGTGTCACAACTTATTTATTTTTAATATTATTTATCATATTTAATATTTTTTTTAAACTTTTATCTTGTTCTTTTACATGTTCTTAACTGTAGATTTGTCAAAAAATGCATTATATAAAGTCTAGAATTGTTTCGACCATCTGTCTCATTATATATCAATTATTTGTGTATCTTATATTATATTATATTTAATTACAATTTTTTAATTTATACTACAATTAAATATTTATAATTCATAAATTCATCAATAATATTGTCGAGTCAACTTTTGTTCATAAAATTTTGAAAAGCATAATTATTTTCATTTATATGCTTATGTCAAATTAAGAAAAGTTAATTTTTTTTAATTGTAACTGTATTGATGTGTAACATATATTATAGATGAGAAAGATGACAAATTATGAAAAATATAATTTATAAATTATAATGACATTATGTTATTTTACTGGTATACCTTTTCTATTATCTAAATAATGCCTCAAGTATGAAATTATTTTCTATCCACCACTGCAGGTAGATTTCGAATAGAACTTCCATTGAAATTCTTACATTTCCAGTGACATTTTTTCCAACTGTTGAAAAATGACCCGAAAAAAATTCAAACGGAAATTCACACAATAACAAATAATGATAACTGGATTAATTAAATCCACTAAAATTTGAATATAATGTAATTTGATCTCGGAATAGTCAATGGAACTTTACAATGACAGCTATATGAATAAA